GAAAACATTGAGCACTGAAATATAATCTTCAGTATTGCCTCCTAATTATTTTAAAAAATTCAGGGGTTTGGGGAGAGGCTCCCAAACCAAATATTTAGAAATATCCCTAAAATAAGTGAAATTGCTTATAAGAAAGCCATTTCAGCACTCCAGATCCACCTCTCAACACTTTAAGTCATTGACTTCTGTTACGTGAGAAGTATTGTGAAGAGGCCACTATGAATAAATTATTATGATTTATTTCATTTCTACAATGATACACAGGTTGAATAGAAGATGGAAACCTTAGAGCTTTGCATGATAAAAGTGCATATGAAGCGCTTTGAAAAAGTGCTTCATTAAGTTCATTAAGGTATAAAAATACACAATTTACAGGCGGGGGGGAGGAAAATGGAATCTGATTCGAGGGGCTATCTGCACAACCAGGGCTAGAAGAGACACAAAGCTTCTATTTTATCTAGCCCATCATCTGTTCCATGAAGGAGAAGCATCCATCAATCAGAGCCTACAAAGTATTCCAGAATGCAGTGTACTACAGAAATAAATCTCATTTGTTGTAGAAAGATAATCCAATGAGGAGGAGAAGCATGTGTGTAAAAAGGGGGGAAAGGAGGGATAAAATAAGAAATCTGAACTGTCAGTGAAAACATTTAATATTGCCCTGTTATGTTTCAGAAATATCAGGTGCCAAAAATCACCCATATAACAAAGTTGATTTTCAGCCACTGACAAAGGGGATTTCTGAAATGCATAGGGCAGCATTCATTCATCCCTCCCTCCCTTCCATTTCTATGTCGCTTCATAACCCAAAGTTTCTGACATGCAGAAATATATCCAAATGAGAAAGCAGAGTCTCACAATGTGAGACATACAAGAACACACACATGTAAAGGTGCAATGGATAAAAAAGGGAAAAAAATAGAGGATTTTTAACCTCAAGGACTTTTTCTTGTTCCTTCCTCCCCCACAAAAACTGAATGAATTTGAATTTATCAAATACTTAATTTAGAGTGACTAAAAGCATGTTTAATGGGAGGTGCTCAGTTTATATTGCTACCTGGTCTTTACTCCCTTGAAATGATTTCTGCATGACTGGAGGACTCTTACACAAGCCTATAAATTTCTGAACATGTTAAAGCTATGGGAAAATATGTTTGGTTATTCTTCCTAATAGGTAAGAGAGTTTACCCCAGCTAACAAGCTCTCAATAGCTTTTGGAAGATCAGATTTTCCTAAAATCTACCTCAATCAGTTTCCCACAAACAAGACCAGATGCTGTATCCTAGCTTTTCTCCATCTTCAGTTCGTCCTGCTTATTCTGACTTCTAAGATGATTCAGGGATTACTTGCTGAAGTTTCCTCTGTACAGAAATAAAATAGAAACTTAAAATTTATAACTCACTTCACTCACAACATTGTTTGGTATATTAAATTTCCAAATATATTTAATTCAGTAGATAATTGCATTTCTAACTATGAGCAAACCAAGTTATTTTATGTTCCTAAAGGAGCCTTTATGAACATGAGTTTGAGCAAACTCCATGAAGCTGTGGAGGGACTTGGGTGTGCTTTGGTCCATGGGATCCAAGTATCAGATGTGACTTAACAACTGAACAACAAAAGAGCTTTTGAATCTGTAACTTACCAACATTTCTGTTGAAAAACAATAATGGGGGAGATAGATCCCCCCTCCCCCATGGCATCAACATTTCTGCAAGTTTTACCTTTTTACACACATGCAATTGTGTAAGAATGAGAAGAAATGTCTTCCTAAATGAAAACATAGACCCCATCCGAGGAAAGTTAGTCATCTTTAAGACTGCAATCCTTATACACTCACTAAATTCAGGTGGGCTTTGCTTTTCCACAGGTATGTATAGAATTGTACTGTTAACTCCCAGCAAAAATCAAAGCGACCTGTCCCTCATAAATAATAAGTCCTGCTGATTTTAAAGCACTTAAGGCAACTGTTTGGATTGGTGTAATGATGTTCAGTGAAAAAGCATGCACAAACAATCCTATTAGAATAATCCTAGAAGAAAATTGTACAATATGCTTCCTATGCTATCCAACATCGTGTATAATTGTGGCAGGCCCAGATACCTAAATTATATGGGGTGGGGTGGGGGGAAAGGAACATTTATATAAGAGGACAGTGAGCTGGAACTGAGATATTAAAAAGAATGTCAAGCATTCATCATATATTTAGCCAATCCTGTTTTCAAAACTAGTGAACCCTTATGAAAATATATATGAATGCTTAACACCTGGAAATATTTGATTTTAACTTAAAATTTGCTCATGTCTACTTCTTTAGGAATTGAGGGCATGGGATACTGTTCTACTGTAAAATTGGGTAGATCTAGCCCTTGATTGGATTTGCCTGGGATTAAATGAAATTTGTTCCAAGCTACTCAGAGGATATGTGGATCTTACAAAAGCGAAGGGTACATAAATGTGTCCAGCACCTTCCTTAACTTAAAAAGTTCTCCTTCTGTTTTCAACTTTTCCAAAACTATTCCAACGTGAGTGGGTAATGCCCATTAATGCATTTTTGTAGGATTGGGTGACATCCAGAAAAAGCAAACTTCCGTAATACAACAGATCATTTGTACCTGCAAAATTATGTTTACATGTAGAGTCAATTAAACACAGGCACACATAGGAATGGTTTGGAAATAATTTAAGAAGCCTTACATTTCTCATATTAAACTTACCTTGCATATTGTAATACAAGCAACATTATTTTGCCATGAAAAAGACAGTTTTGAACAGAGCCATATGTCCAATTATGTTTATTTATATGGCTTTATGTACCTCTTGCTTTAATTTTATTCTTTATGCAAACAACTAGTATTTTTCAGAATTTGTGTAAAAGATGGCTGAAACAGCCCAACGAAAAAGTTGTCTATTTTAGTGATATGCACACATTTCTTTGCAGAAAGTTAAACTGAAGTGTTAAACAGATCAAATGTATTAACTTGAAGGGCACAATGGTTTTCTAAATCACCACTGTCTAGTCTCAAATCCATTATCAACGACAGTCTAAAAGAGAATTATGTAATGCTTTATTTTCTTAGCATTAGCATCAACATATTATCAATCCTGTTCTTGCTTTATATCTCAAAGTTTTGATCATGTACAATATTGCGAATTAGGCCACAATAAAGTGCTTCTCAAATTATGTGTCTAAAAATATCAAGAGCAAAAAACAAAAACCCCACGGCCTTTTGAAATAGCAACATTCTGTATGACATTACTAGGCATGGATTATTATTTTGCAATCATCCTACAACTATAATTCTATAGAGTATTTGAATGCATGGGTTAAGCATAAATTGGGTGAAACAATTTCTGGTACCATGAAATGTGCAAGACCTGCAGTTACAGGGTTTTTATAGACTCCCTATGTGAATTAATAGATTGTGAAGAATATTTTCAGTGTCACCCATTTGAAAGTGATTGTAAATAATAAAATATATATTTAAATAATAATTTAGCAATATTTGTTGCAATGTATGTTACCAGCAATAATACTATTCAGGCTGAGGAAGCACTTTGTTTTAAATAATAGGATGACAGTTGTCTTTTATATTTTTATGTCTGTCATTTACCCAAAATATATATAAAACTGTAGAATTTCTATTTCCTGTACACCTGATATAGAAATATAGTAATGTTATTAGCTGATTTCCCAATGTCACTCAAGGAAAAAAGCCAACAAATTTCTTTTGCACTACATAGAAAAAAGTTTAAAACCAAACATTTCACTGACATTTTGCTGACTTTTCTCACTTTGGTAATTTCAGAGACGTTGCACCAACTTATAACATCTGATTGCAATATAATCACAGCTGACTGAATGAATGTGTTAAGACAAAGGGACACACACTATCACTTTCTGCCTTTATCCAGAGCATAGTTACAGTACCTTTCACAAATAAAATATTATTCATGTATTTATTTGGATTTGAATCTCCAAGAAAAAAAAGTAGGTATCAAATGAAATGTACCTTTTCTTCTCAAAAGTTTAAAACAACATACCCACAACAAAAAAAGATTTCAATGTGAATTTTTGGACCATCTTCCATGATTGCCCATCTTATCCAAACCCACTGCTAAAAATACAATGTTCTATTATATTATATTAGCTTTTTTTGACATGACAACATGTTTGATCATGAGTTCAGTTCTACAGTGTAAAGATATGCAACTCTTATTCAATGAAGTGTCAAAAGCAAAAAGACTCTTCATTTTAAGTGCCACAATAACTTTAAAGGTTGGTATTTAATACTTCAACTTTTCTATTTTTTCACTGTTGAAGAAGCAATATCACAATCTCAAATCAAAGTCAACACTGCAGTGAGGAGAGCTTTTCTACTTTATTACAAAGAGAAGAAGCCTTTATGTGGTCAGAAAATACAAGATTGATCTTTTTTTTTTTCTCTTCCTATGAAACGCTGCTGTTCAAACAGCCAGAGTGAATTGTCTCAGTTCACTTCGTTAAGTCCCATCACATTCACTTGGGTATGGATGTCCTTGGCTGCTGAAATCTGGCCCTTTAGTGCACAGGGCGACAAAGACGTCCCCTGACCAGCAGTTCCAGAATGTCCCGTTTTCATATATTGCATCCATGCACACCTCCTAAAAATGAGGTACAGCAGGGCAAACATTTTCCAAAATAGATGTCATATATATAATATATACACATTCGTACATACATACCTTTATTCATGTGATGTCCAAAAATTTAAAAAAAATGTACACATTTATTACAAAATCGTAACAAAGACTGGACAGTGTTTTGCTCATTCTGGAAAGATGAAGCTCAGTAACACACAATCTTGGAAATGAACCAAAGATTGCGGCAATACCTTTCTTCTAAACAGTCAGATATTCTTGCATTAAGTTGGCGAAACTGCCTTTTCAAAAACTGAAGGGGAAGTAAAATGAAGGAAGCAGACCTTGCTCATCTTTCCAAATGAAATACGAGAAGGATCTTCACATAAAAATGCACAAACATTTTTTTTTATTACCAAGAGTGCTACAATGAACAATGCAAATTTTATTGTCTGTTTCTTGTTTCTTTTTTTCTTTTTTTTTACATTTTGGAAACTAAGTGGTAAACTTTTGTCAGTGTACTTGCTTGTCTTTACAGACCCAAGCTTGTCTGCTGGCAAAAAAGAAAAAAAAAAGAAAATAAAAAAATCCGACCCTGCTCAAACTAAAGAAAAACAAATTATAAATTTAGTTGTTGGGCAGCACATAATTAGTAAGGCAGGACTTCAAATAGTGACCCTTTTGCATGAGCCAATTGCCAGATCCTCAAAAGGAATTAAAACCAGGATGCCTGAGCCACATCAGTTTTGCAGTTATGTTGAGTATTGTGCTGAGACAGCCATACCCCAAGACAAGGGAAGTCTTTAGAAGGCTTGCTGAGCAGGGTTGTAATTGAAAGTGGATGGCAGATGAGGCCTTTCTTCTAGCTTGTCATATTCCAGGTGGAATTCCTACAAGCCAAATAAAAAAATGATTATTTCATACTCAGCAGATGATCCATTTAATGCTTTCAAACTGAGTCAATGCATATCTAACTCAAAGAAAAATGTTATATCTTACAAATAAATGTGTTAGGCCTTCTCATGGTCATAGGAAGGAACTTTTGCATGGTCAAAGGAAGTTAGATGAGGCTTCTGTTTATGGGATTTAGTAAAAAACAAAAAATAGACCCAGACTTCTAAACAAAAAAAGCACCAGCAGCAAAACCTGTGGCCTCAGATATTAAAAATACAAAACATAACTTCAATACCAACTTCATTTAAAAAATATTGTGGGTCAGAGCAGATGCAACCCTAAACCCATTCATCCTACATACTTGTGTAGAGTAAGTGCCATTTAAGTCAACAGGACTTACTTCCAAGTAAATGTGGTTAGGACTAGGCAGCAAAAAATGATCAGATTTGCTCTTATTTCCTCTGTTTCTACAGCATAAAACTATCTAATGAATAAAAACAGATATTTATCAAATATCCATATTGCCTTTTTGCTTTGCTAACACTGTAAAATTATTTGTTGAAATTAATATTTCAAGTACAAGGTTCAAGATGGATTTATTTCAGAAACTCAAAGGGTGAAAATTTTTATAGCAGTCTTTTTACACAGAACATTTATGGAATCAATGTTTTTTGGGACTGCAATATCTGACTGAGTGCCTCTCCTGACTTGCATCTACTCTGAACACTACAATCCACAACTGAGGCCTTCCTCTCAGTGCGACTTCCAACAAAGACTCAGAGGGCAGCAACAGTGGAGAGGGCCTTCTCAGTTTCAGCCCCCAAATATAGTATTATCTCCCCATAGAGGCTCACCTTGTGCCAATTTTGATAACTTTCTGATACCACAGTTGACTCTTCTCTGAGACATTTAATCGCATACTGCAGGGGCAGAGATGAGGGCTTTAATGTTGTGTCTAGCTGTACTAAAGAAACCTTACATGGCTTAAATTGTTTTAATTTGTTTAAATATTGTATATTTGAAATTCTGTGCTGCTTTCATCGGATTGTCATTTTGTATTCTTAAATTAATCGTTGTGAATCTCCAAGGTGACTTCAGCTACTGGGAAATTAATTTAATCCTCCTCCTCTCCCTCTTCATCATATTGGAGTCTAAACTGCCATAGATACTTCTGAAAATAGTAGCTATCTGCAATTTAGCACAACTGGCATGTATGAAAATTCTGGAGTGAAACATGGTTTGATCTACAGGGCCCCATGTATGAACAGAAAGCATATTACACATGATCCATTTTAGAGGACCTTCAGGAGGCTGCAAACCATCAGAAATTCCTCAATCTACAATTTATTTTAAAATATTTGTATCCCACCTTTATACCTGAGCCAGGTCTCCAATGTTGCTATCATAATCTTTAAAAAACATCCATCCAACAGGGAGAAGCAACAGAAGTGTTTTTTGTTTCTCAGTCTTCATTTTAATTGTTTTTGCTCAAGATGAGCCCGTCTAGAGAGGGAATGTTGGCAGAGGCTGGGCCAGGGTCTCTACAGATTTCTCATATGCTAGCTTCTCACCTCCCTCACCCCCACCACTCACACACATTTCCTTTCCCCCAAAGCTGCATGTATAACCTCAGAAAGAAGTGGACCCAGTGAGGAAGTGGGAGTGGGGATCAGAACCCAGACTCCCTCCTGATGTCATAACTATTTGTAGCTCCTCAGGAGGGCAATACTGAGCAGCACTTTAGCACCTTGGGATCACAGGGTTGCTCTCTAATTCAGTTAAAAATAATGAACAAAATAGAAGCTAATAGCCAATAAACAAAATGGAGAGACAGAAAAGATGACCGGTCAAAGTAGATAGCATTATAAGCATGGGCAAATAGCTTCTACTGCCTAATAACAACAACATAATCACCTTTTCCCTCAAATGATTGTGATGCAGTCACCCTACTACAGACTGAGAAACAAGTAGTTTAAACAAAGTGAAGGAAGCCTTTGAAAATCTGGGTGCAAAGAAAAGACTCTGATCTCTTTGACTACCCAACTCATCTCTCAAGGTTAGGGCACACAGAAGTTCTTACTATGTGGCTGATGTGTACAGCAGCAGGTGGTTTCTTGGGTATCTACATCCCAAGATCTTTATAGGTCAACTCAATCCTTTTAAGTATGAACAGAAATAAAAGTGGTTATCAGTTCAAATGTTAAGCTCTAGAAGTTATTTGATTGGATGCTGACACTCCTTTGAATACAAGAGCTTCCCCATCCACCTCAATATTGAGGCCAGCTCCACTGTAGCAAATGCTGCTATTGGTTTATGACACAACACTTTGGAGCAGAGAACAACCTGTGGATTACCTATTCATCTTACTGCTAAAAATTTCACTCACTACCAAATATGTGAAGCATTGACAAAAAACAAGATAGATTGCAGACACACACCTGCCAGCCTTCTTTCCCACAAGTACTTACTTTAATTCCTATAGAAACTGTGGACATTTAGAGAACCCTAAAAATTATATGGAATATTTTCTATTTCAGAATACTTTTTAAGGTAAATTCAAAATGTGCAGGATGAAGATTTTATGTAAGAGTCCACAGAAGTAGAGAATAAAGTTTACATCTACACTGTAGGCATTCAAAACACTCAAATCCAAGATACAGTTTTGCTCCTAAAGGCTACTATCACCTTCCTGAGAGGAATGTGCAGGATTGCTTCTGAACTGCTGTATGCTTTATCTGTGTGACCTCTGGTCCTGGTTAGACGTGTTAGAAGCAAGAATTCTAGGTCTGTTATTCTTTTGACTGTCCTTCCCTTGTAGTGACCCATTTCCCTGCTTACACTCAGTAATGTGACAGACACCTTACTAAAGGGTGGGGGAAAAGCAGTTTCCCCAAAACTAACAAACCTAGGAGGAGATGTAGCAGAAACTGAAAAAGACCTGTTGTGGGTACTAAAGCTTCAGAGGAAAAATATACAAATTTAGGCAACTATCAAGCTCAAACCACGACTCACAGAAGGAAGTAGGCTACAGCTAACTGGCAGTTCTACTTCAACATAGTTAGGATTGTTCTGTTTGCATGTTTTGCACATAGCATAAATATGCAAACTAGCATAATTTTATGTACTATGTTATAAATGCTACGTTTTAAATTATTAAATCACAACATCTGGTTATGGTAAAGAAACATATCTTACCAAAACTGTTAGTAGGGAGATTTCTGGGGGGGAGGGTCCCCATGGATTAAAAATTCCTGGAAATTTTACATTTTCTACTGCAGGTGAAGTGACAGTGAACTTTTGCTTTAAGTTACATTCTCTAGAATACTAAGTGAATGAAAAACAACATGGGTCTGCTTTTATTTATGAAGGTTAAAGGATGTTGTCACTACTTCATTAGTTATCCCCATGACAATAGTCTAAATATGTTTCCATCTCTTATATAAAACAAACTGAAAAGGAAGAAAACAGTTTCCATTTAATTTCAGGAATCCTGAAATATTTCTGGTTCATCTTATAATCTGCATATGTGTAAAAAGAGTATAATCATTATCTTTTAAAAATATAGGCAATGGTCACGATCCAAACACAATTAACTGAAAATGATCCAAAGTAACAGACACTAGTAGGCATCTGCCTCCCTAATCCCCATTTGGATTCTCCATCCATGTAACCAGGATTCTCTATCTGGAATAGGAAACCTGCAAGTATAATCTTGAATATTCTTGCTCTTATGAACAAATACTAGTGAGACTATGCAACAAAATCAACAAGAATTTAAGATGAAAATATATAACACAATATATTACACACAGATTTTAAAGATTTATCTGAAGGAAAAAAATACCTTAGCTACTTTTCTCCAGTTAAGACAGTCAAAGAAGTAGTATGTTCCCCTCTCGTATGTATTGGTTTTCATTGTTGGCTCCATGCCTGGTGCCCTGGTAATCCATACTCTCTCTTCTTTGTGGTATCTCCAATCTCGGTTAAATCTGTCACCATCCAGTCCACAAAGGAAAAAAGACTATTATCTGGACTGAATTCAGTGTGTTAAAGTAAAATTAAATTAAAATTCATATATACCTTCTCCAACACTACTACTAAAAATATGTAATGGCTTGTGCCACAATGAGGAAGTTTGCATTATCAAAGATACTTTTGAGCATACTATGTTATATGCAAAAGTGGGTTAATTTTAACAAGTATTAACATTTACTTATAAAACATTTCTCTCCACATTTTCTTTACGGAATATAAATCTCTATCAAGAGAGGTAGATCTCCTTACTTCTTGTAAAAGTTTAGACGATAATTTAGAGATTTCAAGCTCCTAGGTATGATTGTGAACAATAGCACCATTCCAGGACTTAAATTAGGAGACTGAATGACTACTGTGCAGGGGCATTCACTCAATCCCCTTTTTCCTCCATACACTTATACATACAGTACCAACACTCATCCCTTCTAAAATGTTCTGGTACCCATCCTCTGTTAGGCAGAATGTGCACACACTCCAATGCTGAATAAGGTAAGGATTTTCCACCAGACACACAGAGTTGTGAAAAATCTATAAGCAGAAACTTGTTTCTGTTAAAGTGTTATTCTTCCTGGCATGACATTTCCCACATGTATCATATAAAAACTTTTAAAACATTATCCAACTAATTCTTTCCCTTTCTCCTTGTCTAAAATTCACTGAAGTCTGAACATACAGCTCTACCGCTGCTAATAGTTGTAATACATCTCCTCCATTCATGTAATAGAGATAAAACAGTAGATCTTCCCCATAGCGGCCAAGCTTTATTGCAGCCAACTGTAAAAGAAGGGAAAAAAAGATGAACACTTTAAAAGATGGGGTATGCACAGAGGCACTAAAATGCAATGTGAAACTTTTAACAGGGACTGCTAAGAAACAAATTACTTTGGCAGAATTCCAATTAGCTGGATAGTGACTCAGTCCCCATGTATTTGCCAATGCTTTTTCCAGCCATAAAATAAACTCTAACATTCCTAGCATCTATTTCAATTTGCATATTTATTAGTAATAGTTAATAAGGTACATTTAGTCTTATAATTTTGTTGTCCCTTGCCCAGGCAGTCACATTACTCAATTCATCTACATTATCAGCACTAGTTTGGTAGTGCCTCTAACAATGGCAAACTACCTACATCTTTTAAAATAACTGTCTTTTGCTGAAGTGTATTAGCTAGGAGGAGATTAAAGTATTTAAGCTACCAGTTAAGAACCATTCAACTGAAATTACAGATGATTTAAAAATAGCTGCGACTTTTGTCTAATACAATTACACAAAATAATTACTTCCTGAACAAAATAATAAGACTTTCCCAAAAGAAAATATTAAGAAAACTTATACTATATTAATATATATTAGTAAAAGAACTCTCATCTGTTCTCCCAAAATATAAACTCAGTATAGATGTGATTATTTTAAAAATAAAACTGTAACAAAAATTTGAACTATTCAAAGAGTTGATTAACACTTATACTAAGGGTTACTGGACCCACAATCGGTTGGTATGTCATAGAAACCAGGCAGACTAATTCCATCATGAGTGACAAAACCTCCTTTGAATTTTTTTGTTCTGTTAAGAGCACTGAAAAGGTGCATATCATATTTATAAAATGACCAGGTATGGATGATGATGATGATAACCAAAATTACTCAATTTACACTGCATTAAACCCCCATGTAATTTAGTACAATCAATCCAAAATTTCAACTTTTGCAAGGGTGGGTGTGACAAGACTGGAAGAGTGGTTTGTCTCAGGCCATCAAGTGAATTAATGACAGAGACAAGATCTGAATCGAGGATGTCATGCTCAACCTCTTGGGAAAAACACATGTGTTTAAGATTCATCTCTCATTTATTAGCCTCTTATATTAATTTTATTTTATATAGGGATGAGAAATGATACTCACCTTATCCCTAATGTGAATGTTTGTTAAGTATTCAGATGGAACATGAAAGTCTAGATAAAGGAATAAGAAGTGACTTAATTTTCAATCCACAACACCGATCCTCACAGAAGAATATTAAGTGTATGTTAAACACACAAACAGACACATGCTCATACATTTTTAGTAGTACACCCTACCTATATCTTGAGGTCGACAAGGTGAAGAAGCCCAAGGTGATGCAAATTTGGGGTAAAGATTTCTGTGTTAAAAAAAAAAAAGTGACTTAATTGATAATCCAATAGTGTTTCATGAATATACACTGAGACCACAGTCATATAATAACTAGGTTCATACAACATGGCCATCCATCAAGGTAAAGAACCGTGGTGGGCTTATATGTTGGGTAAACCCCGACTGCTTCCTGCGGGTGGCTTGTTTGAGGACAAAGCCATCATGACAACCCAAGACTGATAATAAGAGATACTGGACCCACAATGGGCCACTATGTCATAGAAGCCAGGCAGACTAATTCCATCATGAGTCCAGGGAAGAGTTGAGCCAGCTGCTCAGAGTGACAAAACCTCCTTTGAAATCTGTCAAAAAATCCCATTTGGCCCATCAGAAACCCTGCTTAAATTAAAACCCCTTGGACAGCTGTCAAATGCTCACAAAAAGGGGTGGGGCAGAAGATACTACCATACCAGAGAACTTAGAGCTTGCAGAAGTACAAAAAAGGAGGGAGGCAGAGAATGCTTAGGGCAGAGGTCCTCAAACTTTTTAACAGGGGGCCAGTTGAAAGGCGGCAGCGGGCACGGGCTGGTGAGTACCTGCGGGTGCCTGCGGGCATGGGCCAGTGAGGCGGTGGGAGGCATGTGTGAAGCAGTGTGTGTGCCGCGGCGGCTTGCTCATTCGGAGATTTCCAAGCGAGTCCAAAACTCTATCCAAGCGAGCAAGCTGCCACCTCACTGTGGTACCACTGTACTGGGAAAATAAAAAAGAGTTTCACCTGATGCTAAAAAGAATACAGAAGAGGTGCTGGGAAAACCTTTTTCAGTAGCTCATTCTGTTGCTGGAGTGCCAGAATGGGATACTCACTGAACTAAACAATTTTTGCCAAAAACTTTACACATAAAGCCAAAATGGATCCCATGATTAAAGCACTGAAATATGTCATATTCAAAGGAGGGAAACTGGTGTCCCAGAGAACCTCTGTTGGCTAAGCAGCAATCTAGACATTAAATAAATTGGTTGTTGCTGCATTCCAGCATCATTTGGTGGGCCAAAGGTTTCTCACTCTCCCTCTATAGTTTTGAGACTCTAACAACAAAAGGTTTATGTAAGTATTTAATAAGGGGTGGTCAGCAGTAGAAATTTTTCCATTTTTTTCATGAATGGATTTTATCTGAGATAAAAGTTAGTTCCACTGATTTTCAAGACAATGTACACTATTGAAAAAGTAATAACAAAGGAAAGACGAAACGCTATCACCATCATGGAATTTAATATTAGATTAATAGAAAATTTGCAATCAAGCAAAGTAGCTGGATGCTCAACATATTTCCACTTACTCTGCTATTCAGATAAGCAAACTTATTTTGCAGTGCAATTCTTTACCTATCTAGTCAAAAGTAAATCCCCAGAGTTCAATTAGTTCTAGGTATAGATCATAAGCACATCTAACCATTGTCACATAGATAGTAGCTAATCTGTTAAAATTAAGCAATAGAAAATCCTTATACACGCATCCCTATATAAAGGTTTACAAAGATATGCCATCCACAATTGCATATAGATATCTTGGTTTTGTATTTTTTTTTAATTAATAGGTCATATTATGAAAAGGAAGTAAAAGGATCCCAATTTACTGGAAGCTTATAGATCTGAACTTTAACACTAAGAATCTAATAATGTTATTAAGCTTTAATTTTATTATATTTACATTTTCAGCTGTCCTAAGCAAAATATCTTTGAACTTTTGATGTTCAAGGTAATTAACTGAAGCAGTAACTTCAAATTACATAAATGGCATTAAAGCTAAAAACAACTTACTCAGGAGAGTTGAGATTGAGACCTAGAGTTGTCAAGTCACTTCCTAATGCGAGATGTACCATGCCAGGATCTGTCTCTGCTGCCCTGATGAATGTTAACAAACCAATCATTCCAAACTGATCGGTCACCATCCCTTGAGGAATATTGGTCACCCGACCTAGGCAAACACAAAATCAGGTTAGTCCCAAATTGTACAAAATCAAAAGCTTTTGAAACCATTGGTAAGAGAATTAAAAGGGAGAGGGAGAGATCAAAATATATACCATCAGGTAACACTTGGATCCCTTTTTTCTGCTGGTTATTGTTTTGTGTTGTTGAACTTTTATCTCCAGGAAATTTAGGTCCATCTGCACTGGAAGATGTTTTTCCTGATGTATTCAAATTCTATCAAGAGAAAGCAGTGTGAGAAATTTAGCACAAGGTAAACATACATGCAGCAATCCATAAAGCTACTTCAGTTGTGTATGATGATTGGTGTTCCAAAACCCTGATTTCTCCATTTTTCCTACTTAATAGCAACATTTTATGCCAAGAGAAGCTCCCCTATGTTTTGGTTGCAACATATCTAGTACCACCGAAACACAGGGGCTAAAAAGAAGTTAAAGCAGCAATTCCGAACTTAAATCTTTGAAAGAAATTATTGTTATGCTAAATCAGCAACCCACTACTTGTGATACGAGCGCCTGTTGGGTAGTCTCTTGTCCTCCATTCTTTTAAACATTTACATCAGGGGTTGGCAATGTGGTGCTCATGGTACCCCCAAGAGGTCCACCAGTTCCTGCCAAGACCTTTCTTCACTCCCTATTTCATCTTACTTCCTCCTTAGGGGCTTGACAGTGCAGAAGTGAGGTAGGCTGTGTGTGAGTTCGGGGGAAGGGGAATTATACTTAATGACTGGGGAAAGTGGGAGTGGACAGGAAAGATACACATAGGGAAGAAAAAAATAGAAATTCCAAGCAGCAGGGGGAGTAAGGGAACAGAGAGATGCTCTATATGGGGGAGTGGAAGAAACACATAAAATCAAACGATGGGGAGGAAGAAGAAATCAGAGGATCTAGGTCAGTGATGATGAACCTTTTAGAGAATGAGTGCCCAAAATGCAACCCAAGACCCACTTATTTATTGTGAAGTGCCAACACTGCAATAAAACCTGAAAACTGAGGTTTTAGTTTAGAAAAAACTCACAGCCAGTCCAAGCAAATGTATATATATTCTTGGCAGCACACTGACTGGCCACGCGAAAGATCGGACAAGTCAGGGCTAAAGAGTCGCGGCTCATGATGTCATGCCTGGCGCCGCGACTCATTTCCAAGCATGCACATGGCCCTTATGTGCCCTCTTATGTGATGTTTGGCTGCTGGGGCAATGCTGGCACAACTTGGCTTGTGTACCAAAAGAGAGGGCTCTGTGTGTCCACTGTGGCACGTGTGCCATAGGTTCACCACCACTGCCCTAACCCTACCCTGGTGCACTCCCCCTAACCCTAATATAGGGCTAAAGTTCCACTGAAAAGGGAGATTTTGAAAAAGCCTTCCCTAAGTAGCTTTTTCTGCACAACTCAACATTTCTGCCCATTCTAACCACATTCCAACCATCAAAATCATGTCAGGACACCTCATTTTTCTAACGCTAACCCAGTGATGGTGAACCGTTTGGAGACCGAGTGCCCAAATTGCAACCCAAAACCCACTTATTTATCACAAAGTGCCAACACTGCAAATGAAACCTGAATACTGAGGTTTTAGTTTAGAAAAAACACCTCACAGCCAGTCCAAGCAAATATATTCATATTCATATCCATATCCATATCCTTGGTAGCGCACTGACCGGCCATGCGAAAGCTCAGACGAGTTGTGGCTAATGAGCCACAGCTTGTGACGTCATTGCCTGACGCCGCTACTCCTTTTTGAGCATGCGCATGGCCACTATGTGTGCTGTTATCTGATGCTCAGCTGCTGGGGCGATGCTGGGACAACTTGGCTCATGTGCCAACAGAGAAGGCTCTGTGTGCCCACTGTGACACGTGTTCCATAGGTTCGCCACCACTGATCTAGGCAAATGGGTCCCCCACTACAAATGTGTTTGCAAGGCTGAAAAGAGTTCCGAATGTACCCTTGCCTATCCTGAATTACATAAAGTTGCTTAGCAAGCTCATTCAAGGATTTCAACTGAGATGCTATCAATATGCCAACATCCAATTCTATTTCTTCTTTACATGTGATTCAGTGTTTGTATCAATAGTGGATTCAGTTAAGTGCCAATACATTGAAGCTCAGTCCTGATAACATGAAGGTTCTAGTGAGAGAGATGATATTTGGCATACTCTGCCCACACACTTAGGGGGAACAGCTCACAGCCTCCTCAAGACCGAGGCCCCTATGTCACAGAGTGTGGTCCACGAGCTAAGGCTGATGGACCAATTTCAGGCCCTTCTAGATAAGAAAAACCCAGTCATGGTTATCCATGAATTTCAGATTCTCTTGTAATGTGCTATGTATGGGCTAAAACATGGTCAACTTGCCTGTTGAGAACATATCTCACCAGTGCTAAAAGAGAGGCACTGGCTTCTGATTTATTTCCAGGCACAATATAAGTGCCAGTGCCTACCTATGAAGGATCACGGACCATACATATGATTCATCTTCTGAGGCCTTCCTCTCAGACTATTTCTTCCATTTGAAATAAGGAAGGTGGCAGCTGGAGAAAGAGCCTTCTCTTTCAGGTACCCCTTTGTGGAAGCTTGCCTGGCTCCTATAATGTCCTTTCTCCACCAGGCAAAGACCTGTTTAATTTCCCAGGCTTTTAATCTTTGAAGGAACTGTTCATTAGTTTTAATTGCAGTTGACAGTTTTGGTTTATTACTATTACTACTGTTTGTTTGGGCTTTTATGCTACAAGCCATCTGACAATATTTTTAAATTCCAGTGTGGAATATAAAATTGGATAAAATAAGATCAAATATGATAAAAATGAATTAAACTACTTTAATACAAGCATACCTCAGAAATATTGCGGTTTCAGTTCCAGGCCACCACAAAAAAGCAAGTATCTCAATAAAGCTGGTCACACATTTTTTTTGTTTCCCAATGCATTTAAAAGTTATGTTTACACTATACTGAAGTCTAATAAGTGTTCAATAGCATTATGTCCAAAAATATACATACCTTAATTAAAAATACTTTATTGCTAAAAACCCCCGCTAACCATCATCTGAGCCTTCAATGAGTCGTAATTTTTTTGCTGGTGGAGGGTCTTGCCTCAGTATTGATGGCTGCTGACTGATCAGGTGGTGGTTGCTGAAGGATGGGGTGGCTGTGGCAATTTCTTAAAATAAGACAACAATGAGGTTTGCCACATCACTGACTCTTTCATGAAAGATTTCTCTGTAGCATGCGATGCTCTCTGACAGCATTTTATCCACAACAGAACTTCTTTCAAAATTGGAGTCAATCCTCTCAAACCCTGACACTGCTGTATCAACTAAGTTTATATATTATTCTAAATCCATTGTTGTCATTTCAACAATGTTCACAGCATCTTCACCAGGAACAGATTCCATTTCAAAAAACTTTTTTTTTTTTTTGGCTCATCCATAAGAAGCAACTCCTCATCCATTTTATCATGAGATTGCAGCAATTCAGTCACATCTTCAGGCTGCGCTTCCAATTCTAGTTCTCTTGCTATTTCCACCACATCTGCAGGTACTTTCTCCACTGAAGTCTTCAGTTCCTCCATGTCATCCATGAGGGTTGGAATCAACTTCCTCCAAACTCATGATGTTGATATTTTGACCTCCTCCCATGAATCACAAATGTTATTAATTTGGAATGAATCCTTTCCAGAAGATTTTCAATTTAGTTTCCCCAGATCCATCAGAGAAATCATTGTCTATGGCACCTATAGCCGTACAAAAGGTATATCTTAAATAAGAAGACCTGAAAGTCAAAATTACTCCTTCATCCATGGGCTGAAGAATGGATGTTGTATTAACAGGCATGAAAACAACATTAATCTAATTGTACATCTCCATTAGAGCTCTTGGGTGACCAGGTGCATTGTCAATGAGCAGTAATATTTTGAAAGGTGTCCTTTTTTCTGAGCAGTAAGTCTTAACAGTGAGCTTACAATATTCAGTAAACCATGTTGTAAACACATGTGCTGTCATCCAGAGTTTGTTGTTCCATTTACAGAGCACAGGCAGAGTAGATTTAGCATAATTCTTAAGAGCCCTAGAATTTTCAGAATGGTAAATAAGCATTCACAACAATTAGTACCTAACAAAAAAGTCTGCTTGTCCTTTGAAGCTTTGAAACCAGGCACTGACTTCTCTCTAGCTATGAAAGTTCTAGGTGGTATCTTTTTCCAATAAAAGGATGTTTCATCTACATTAAAAATCTGTTGTTTAGTGTAGCCACCTTCATCAATTATCTTAGCTAGATATTCTGGATAACTTGCTGCAGTTCCTACATCAGCACTTGCAGCTTCATCTCGCACTTATATGTTGTGGAGACAGTTTCTTTTCTTAAACCTCATGAACCAACCTCTGCTAGCTTCAAGCTTTTCTTCTGCAGCTTCTTCACTTCTCTCAATCTTCTTAGAATTGAAGAAAGTTTGGGTCTTGCTCTGGATTAGGCTTTGTCTTAAGGGAATGTTGTGACTGGTTTGATCTTCTGTTCAGACCACTAAAACTTTCTCTATATCAGCAATAAGGCAGTTTTGCTTCCTTGTAATTCTATGCATTCACTGGAGCTTTTAATTTCCTTCAAGAACTTTTCCATTGCATTCATAACTTGGCTAACTGGCACAAGAGGCCTTGCTTTTGGCCTGTCTTGGCTTTCAACATGCCTTCTTCACTAATCTTAATATTTTCTAGCTTTTGATTTAAAGTGAGAGACGTATGACTCTTTCTTTCACTTGAACACTTAGAGGCCAATGTAGGGTTATTAATTGTCCTAATTCAATATAGTTGTATCTCAGGGAATAGGGAGGTCAAAGAGAGGGAGAGAGACAGGGGAATGAGTGGTTGGTGGAACAGTCAAAGCACATACAATACTTTTTGATTCAGTTTGATGTCTTATATGGCTGTGGTTCATGGTGTCCCACAACAATTAAAATAGTAACAGCAAAGATCACAGATCACCATGATAAATATAATAATGATGAAAAAATTGAACTATTGTGAGAATTACCAAAATGAGACACATAGACATGAACTGAGCAAATACTGTTGGAAAAATTACACCAATAGACTTGCTCAACACAGGGTTGCCACAACCCTTCAATTTGTAAATAATGAAATATCCATGAAGTGCAAAAAAGTGACACGCAATAAAATGAGGTATGCCTGCATATATTTCTCCTATTCTGTACTCTTTGAAACATAAGAACTTACAGATTTACTATCATCATTACTCGATGTAGGATCTTTGTAGTTCGAGCCTGGTAATGCTGGAAAATCTTCGTTGTGTATTGAGAAGTCCTGGGATTGCTCACTTGCTGGTTTTGTTACCATTCCCACTGTATTAAATATAAATGTACCAGATTAAACATTATACTGTTTGTGCTGCAATTGACTTTGGTAACATTTGCAGAGAAGAGAGTTGCTGTTTCATATCTGTCACTTCTTGCTGTAGCTTTCAGCCATCAAGAGAACTTTTACACCAAATGATGGAATACAAATTAATTATATTAAGACAGGTGCTTACCTCTAACTGTAGTTCTTCAAGTGGTCATCCATTCATTCACACCTATGGGTTCTGCGCCTGCATGGAGCCTTCATCAGGAAGCTTCTATAGCTGATGAATTTTTGGCAGGAACCCTCCCCTAGCATCTAACGTGCATGATCCAGTGGGTTCTTGCCCATTCGCTCAGTTCTACTGAGACTTCCCACTGCGGCCTCAGAACTGAGGGGCAATCACAGTATCTATGCCAATACAAAGACAGAACCATCGACACCAGTGGGGATGGAGGATGGGTTGCATGATGCACAGATAGCCACTCAAAGAACTACAGTTACAGGTAAGCAATTTGTCTTTCTTCTTCATGGACTCTGTGTATCACACATATGGGTGAACAGCAAGCTTAGGTAACTTAACAGAAGGAGGGTTGGTGTCTTTACTCTAAGAGATAACACAGTATAGCTCAACCAAAAGAGCAGTCTGATTGTGCCTAAACTTCAAGGCAACAATGCTAGATAAAAGTTGTCAGTCTTGACCAAGCTGCAGCGTTGCAAATATCAACCAATAAAGTCCCTCTGCCAAATGCTGTCAAAGTAGCTATTCCCCGAACAGAATGTGATGTCAATCTGGGAGTGAAGAAGTTTGCTGTCCAGCTAGTTCGTATGCTAGTTTCACAGTCTGAACAAGCCACAATGAACAATCCAAGTCTTTAAGAAGGGATTAGATAGTCTTTTCTTTTCCCCCCATGCTGTCACTGTTATGTGCCATCAAGTCGTCTTGGGCTTCCGGTGACTCTCTGAATGAATGCCCTCCAAATGTTTTGCCCTTCGCAACCCTGCTCTGCTCTTGTAAACTCAAGGCTGTGGCTTCCTTTACGGAGTCAATCCATCTTATATTTGGTGTTCCTCTTCTTTTTCCACCTTCAACTTTCCCTAGCATAATTGTCTTCTCCAGTGAGTCTTGCTTATTCATGATGTGCTGAAAGTACAACAGTTTTAGTTTTGTCATTACTGCTTCTAGGGAAAAGTTCTGGATTATTTTTATCTAAGACCTACTTATTTATCTTTCAACCAGTCCAGGGTATTCCGAAAGTTCTCTTCCTGATACACCTTCTGAATGCATCCATTTTCTTCCTGTCAGCTTTATTCACTGTCCAGCTTTCACACCCATACACAGTGACTGGGAATGCAACACTGTGGATAATCTTATCATGATCAGTGTTTCTTCCTCCAAGCACTATCGGTCTGATCAGAGTTTCGTTGCTTACATGATAATCACTGTTACATATGAGTTTCTGAGCATACACAATGTGAAGTGTTAAACACTTTCTACCATTCATTTTCTAAGGCTCTCTTTAAGAACCCTTCCGTGTTTCAAAAAAAGGGTTTGTGAAAACAGGTACACCTCTTCTTTTCCCATATGCCCCAACTGGGCTTTCCTTCAGTGATGACAGCAAGTGACTGGGTCTACAACTCCAGGTGGCAGGGGTTCTCCATCAGACAGACTTCCCATTTCAATTACTCCTCCCTCAGGTTGTGGCTCCTCAACGTTCCCACAGCCAGGTTGACTGGTCTCCTCACCTGCCCTTGGGCTAGTCTCCCCCGCTGCTACCTCTCATTGAGTCTCAGGACCCTGAAGAACAGCTGAAAGCCTGAGCCATTTCAAAAACAGTCTCATCCTCAAAATCAGAATCTAAATCATCAGCATAATCAGCACAGGGAATACCCCATGAGCATGCCTTAAATTTGACAGGACACACATGCACAACAGATCTTGGCCTTAGCCAATGAGCTGCCTTGATGGTATTTTCTAGTTTCTTCATTGCTACCCTTGCAATGCTCCGTGTTCTTCTAATTTCTTGGCTGCAGATAATTAATGATGGAACCAAGGTCTGCAAAATCTTTCATAATGTCAGTTTCTTTGTTGTTGACAGTAAATTCTTCTGTAGTTGTGATTTTTTTTAAATATGCACCTGCATTCCTGTTTTTGCACTTTCTTCCTTCACTTTCATCAGGAGTCTTTTCAATTAATGGATGCTTTCCACCAGTAATATAGTTATCATCTGCATATCTTAAACTATTGATGTGTCTGCCAATTTTCACTCTTTCCTTGGACCCTAATCTAGCTTTCCTTTTAATATTGAACAGATAGGGAGATAAAACACATCTTTGTCTGATGCTTTGGCGTATATGAAACCATTCTGTTTCTCCACATTCTGTTCTAACAGTAGCTTCTATGATACAGGACAATCAATTACCAGGCACACCCACTTCTTTCAGGACCATCCATAGCTTCTCATGATCCATACAGTCAATGGTTTTGCTGTAGTATGAAAAGCACAGAACAATCTTCTGAAATTCTTCTTTTTCTTTGTGTGTTCATTGGTGGTCTTACCCCCACCCCCGGGGTCTTTTTTGCCAACAAGACAGTCAAGAAACTCCCTGGAGTTGGAGGGTAGGTATGGACCTCATGTGCAGCCTGATCAGATGTGGAATGCCTCAATGTCATCAATAAAAACTATGCAGGTTGTGGGGAGGTAAGTTTGCATGAGACATAGTTTTCTGAGTCACAGCTGCTTCCAATGCCTTCTTCCATGAAACAGCCTTCAGTTTATTTAACCGATCTTGTTGTACTTCTTTTGTAAATGCCTGGGAATGAGAGCAGGTATTGATAATACCTCCTAAGCAGAAGGTCACACTTACTGGACAGGACTTCAAAACCATATGGTCTCAGGCCATGTGAGATAACAATGGAAAGAAATAAAGAATTTTAAAGAAGCTCAACAAATTGCAGCCCAGTGGACAAGAACTTCCTTGAAACTATCACAATGGGGGTCAAAAAGGAACTGAGGGATTTGCAGAACCAAGTGGATCATGAACAATGGAACCAATTACCTTGAGATGTTGTGGGCTCTCCCACACTAGAGACATTTAAGATGGAACTGGACAGCCATCTGACAAAGATGGTTTAACTTTATGTTCTGCACTAAGCAGGGAGTTGGACCTGATGGCCTTCTGATCCCTTCCAATTCTACTATTCTATGAACATTAGACACTAGGAGAGCACACCATCCCCCCAAAATATTTGTCAGTTATAGAAGCTTCCAAGTAAGACGTCTGCACAGGAACAGAGCCAATATGTGTGATGCACAGAGACCATGAAGAAGAAACTGATGATCTTGATACACTTTACATCAGTGTAAAGTGTATTAAGCTGCTTTAAAAAATTCCATTAACAAAGGCTTCCACTTGCAAACAAATACTGAAAGAAGAAATTAATACCAAAAAACAAACTCAGAACACAGTGCATATCTGCAACAAAAGTCAATTTTAGAATTGTTGACGTGGTTCTAAAATTGAAATAGTTTTGAATATTCAGTGTTTGGTGATACAGTTCGCCGGGTTGTGTGAGACTAGGTACTATGTTGACTGTGTGAACTGAGTCACTGACTGATTCCTCGTATATTACTGTTTTTTAAAACAAGTCAATGTTCTTAACACTATAAAGCGGGGGGCAGGGGAAAAGACACAGCGCATTTTTTCTTTAAAAAGTAAAATAAAATAGAAATTAGCAGCAAGCTGTTTAAAAACCATCAACTATATTATTAAAACAACTATATTATTTTAAAAGATTTATATATGTAAATTTATGTACTTAAATATAAGTTATATTTATAAGTTATATAAATAGGTTGAATTTCCTAACTATATATTATAGAGTATCCAGATAATCTGTTACACAACAAACCATTGTAATGGCTTATAGTGGCTAAGTGCAAGAGAAAAAATGTAAGGGTTTAAGTGGTAAATCTGACTGTAGATACCCTCTAGACAAAATGCTTTGATCTTTATTTCACAAAAGTAGGCCAAGCCATTCAACATATGAAGTATGTAATTACAGGACTAAAGAGCAGCATTCTTTTCCACAAAAATGGAAAGTATCAGAGACTACATCTTTGCTCACAAATATATATAAAAATACAATAAACTACTAACACTACAGATTATTGTGCAAGTGGTATATACAGATGGGGGGCAGAAGAGGCTGAAAAACTGACAGCTGCTTCTTTCAACTATTATAACATAAAGCCATTCTTCATTTTAAAAATGCACCAATTTTGTTTTTCAGTTAGTAATGGCATTTATACATCACTTTCAACTTGTCAAGTATTTTACATTATTTAATTCCTTAAATGTTTAACTGCTTTCACTGTGAGCAAGTATCATTTACTATAGATATTCTAGAATCATTAAAAGAAAGTGTAGCCTTAAAGATGCTATAAAGTCTTTAGACAGAATAAAATAATGTTAAACTATTTTTCTACAAGAACCTCAATGGTTTCTGAAGTAAAGCAGAACTGTGTCCAGCTGAATGTGGGAAAAAATCTTTTCTTTTCAAATGATCTTAGTGCCTTGCAATGATAAAGGAGTTTTCTGAAAAGCATGACATTTAAGTGATACAAACTCACCATAGGGTGCCCTTCCAGCTAAAGGGTTTATTAATGGAGTTGGGTTCCCACTTCCTTCCCTTCTGTTTCTGTCTGCTAGTGCTGGAAAATCTGAAAGGTCCAATCCTGTCACATTTTCACTGCCATCTAAAACAAAATATATCCAATTTATAATTCTTTCCTATTTACATAAATCAATTAGTAACTTTCTAACACCAGGATATTCATGTACTGGTGCTGCAACCATAGGAAAATACAGATCTCAAAGTGGAGTGACCAAATAAAAGATGATCTCAAAAGCTCAATAGAATATGAGTTTTATAGTGCTTAGCCAAAGTTCAATGGGCTTCCCAGTTCAAAATACACAGAACTGTAGCAATAGCTATATAGTAAAATAATATGCTAATTCTTTATTTTATCCATTTAATTTTATCCATTTAATACCACCGAATAGCTGAAGCTCTATAGACATCACTTGAGAATTGCACGCACAAAACAAGTTATTGTAGCTATAGTCAGCTGACAAGAAAAAAGCTTTAAAAACTCAGGTACATTTATACCAGTGGTTCACAGTCTGTCAACCACTCAGATGATATGTCTCTACTGCTGCCATTATTTATATTTTTCTCCTAATGGTCTGGTGCGAAAAGTCCCAGTAAATAATCCAGCCATAGTTCAACACATTCTAGAGGAAACAGCATTGAAAAATGAGACAGCATGCTGCCATTACTCAGCACACGCAGCTGAGTTCCAAGAAAACCAACAGTAGTTTGCAAACAAAAAACATTTTAAGAAAAACCCAAACCTTGAACCATTTGCTGTTTAGATATGGTCTTCTGTAAATGGAAGGGCTCCTTCCTTCCATGGAAGATGTTTCTTTCAGTGGAAAGTGAGGAGGTGTTTCCCAATTTTCTCTATCACCTTACAACAGCAGCATTACTTCCTACATGGACAGGTAACCCAACCCTCCAAACAAAAATGCTCCAGGGAAATTGGCCAAACCCATACGCTGCTAGCTGGAGTGAATCATGGATGTAACCTCATTCCTATATAATTTTGCAATATTAAAGTATGCACAAAACATGCTTCCAATTAAGTCTCTACAGAGTGCAAATTTAAAGTAGGCTTACCTGTTCCATTAAAAATGTTACTTGATAAAGAATTGTTCATTCCAAATGCCTGATTCCTGTTCATTCCAAATCCAGACATACTGACATAAACAAAAATGGGGTGTGAGAGAAGAAAAGGGAACATAATATATTTAGATCAGCTTATTTTGACCTGTGAGAGATGGAAGAAAATAACACATGACCAGAACCCCACTTCAATTATTTTCCTTTTTATATGCTCACTCCATGCTGATTTGCACATAGCAGAATAATGTAATTATTGCCTGGCTTGATAACAGAACTAATGAGTCTGAATAAATATCCCAAATTTTTAAATTAAAAACCCCTTTGCATCTTAAACTACGTTAGTCTTAATCACTGAGTATGTTACCTGTCAGTTGTGACTAACACATTGACTAAAACAGGTAGATCACTAATTGGTCCTAGCTGGAAAACTAAGATTTTTTTTTTTAAACTGGAAAAAACCTATGTTTTTAAGATGGTAGGAACCTGTACTGGCAATCCACTTTGAACACTTAAGAAACGATCTGTTGTACAAACTAGGACTCCACAAAGTGATTCAGTCCATAATACCAATCTAAGAAAACTTCAAAAATCTAAACCCTCCAACAGTAGATAATTGCACAGCATCGTTACATAAAAATCAAGATGTTAAAGGATTAGCTGGTAGCAGTTTTCCATGAACATTTGTATAATTTAAAAAACTGATTAAATCTTGCACTAAAAAAATGCCAAGGAACAAAAAGAAAACAAAAAGAAAAGCATCTGACACATTTAGTGGTGAGTATATTCCAAGGTTGCTTTGTTTGGAACAAATCCTATAATGAAAAATGTTAGGCTGCCACTGCTGATTAAAAAACCCTCCCTGATAGTACAAGGTGTAAAGTGCAGCTCTGATGATATGCAAAGCACAGTCATCTCAGCAAGCCCTCAAAACAACAGAGGAAATACAAAACCTCCCCAGGAAGTAGTGAGATAACATATAATACTGAAAACAAATCAGTATGTGATTAAAAAAATAATGAAGGTATCTTAGTTATTTCAGACTTGAGGCACACTCATAAGCATAAAACTATTTTAATACTCGTCTCTCTTCCTCTTTCTCCTTTTCACCAACTGTTTATCTTTCCATTTAACAACTTCTGCATTTATACTCCAAGCAGTCTGCCATTTGGTTTAGCTGTACCATCTGTCATTTGGGAGAGGCCACAGCTAGTATAACAGGAATGCTATTAACTTGTTCTGTGTAACAGATCAGATGCAGCAAGAAATGAGTTTTATTATGTTCTTTGGAAACGGATATTTGATATTCAGATTCACAAATCAGGTTTCTTTTAAGTGAAAGACAGGTTGCTTACCTGTAACTGTCATTCAGGTGGTCATCTGTGCAGACTTTTGCACTTGCACAGAACCTATTGTCGGAAAACTTGAGTATTCAGTTTAGGCAGAAGCACCTCCTCTTCCTGATTTCCAGGAAGCATGGGGAGGGGCTCCCACCCATCCACTTTGTTCCTAAGGAGATTGCCATGAATTTCTGGACCAAGGGGAAGGAGAAGAAGAAGGAAGTTCCAGCCCAATCCGAGCCCAAGTGTCTATGGAAAGTAGGGGAACATCTGTTGGAAGGACAACAGCAAGGGGGACTGGAGGGTGAGTTGTATGAATGCACAGAAGACTACTGAAAGAATGGCAGTTGCAGGTAAGCAACCTGCCTTTCTTCTTCATGGTCTCTGTGCATCACACATATGGGTGACTAGCTAGCTTACCGTGTGAAAGATGGAAGGTGCTGCAAAATGGAAGAGAGGGGACAGCAAATTTACACTGTTATACAAGCTGTATACTCACTACTTTACACTGTAGCAAAGTGTCATTTCTTCAGGGTTGTCACATGAAAAGATATAATATTTACAAAATGTGAGGGGTGTACTCACTTCTGTGATATACTGTATACTCTCCCCAACAGACCATCCAAGCAGTGCCCCTCTATGTCAACAGGAGCAGGGTATCCTCGCTGAGATGTCCCCTTCAGCAATTCCACAATAACAAAGTTCAGCCTCTGGTGTTGGAGGAGGAATGTGACATCCCTCTCCAGCACCCAATGTGTGGACTCAACCTTCCTCGAAGTGCTAAGACAGCAGGGGACTTCCAGAACTGCTTCACAGTCTGGAGCAGGACTGGTAGGAAGGGGGGTGACCACTGGTGTCAAGCCCTCCAAGTCCAAGGGGTCGAAGACTGGGTTAGCAACCTGGTCCCTCTATTGTTCAGTCTCTAGTCCCAGGCTGGTGATCATCCTAAGCACCTGCCTCTCTCCTCCAAAGGAGATGCTGGGTCCCAGCCGAACACCACAGCATTGAGGAATGGTTCTGATGGGCACAATGAGATCACCAAGTCGAAGATATAGCGATGCATGTGTGGAGATTTTTTTTAAAAAGACAGAGTGAAAACAGGTTTTTAAAAATAAGGAACAAAGGGAATTTCCAATCTAGGCACAATGGCAGTTGAAAAGGAACTAAGGGGATGGGTGAGAGCCCCTCCCCATGCTTCCTTAGAACAGGAAGGGGAGGGGCTTCCACCCAAAATGAACACTTAGCTATAGAAGCTTCCTGACAAAAGGCTCTGTGCAGACAGAAATGCCCATATTGTATAATACGCAGGAATGACAAAGAAGAACAGAATGTAACCCTGAGAAACAGGAGTAAGCAATCCAATCATATTTTGCCTATTCCAATTTCTTCCATATAATAGTTTGGAATATTTTTTATTGCTTGACAGAAAAATTAATGTTTTAACATCAGTCTTTATTTAAAATATATTTTATATATAATGCACAGGATGTCTGTAATCCTCTATATTCAGAGTCTTACAGGTGTCCTGATTTATTTATTTATTTTATTTACTAAAGTTTTTCTATCCTGTTCCCTACAGAACGTCTCAGAACAGATTTAAATTGTGCCTTTATGGTAGTCTGACTTAGCATTCTAACTTATTTGGGTGATGCACAACACATATGAAATATAATATAAAAAATAAAAACACAACAGAACAATGTAGCATCAAGGTAAAACCAGTAGCAAATCACAGAATTATTCAAAGACATAAAATCAAACTAAAACTAGCAGCTGAAAACACCCAAGTTCTTGAAATGCCTGCAAAAGTGCAAAGATCTTCCCATAAATTCAGTGCCAGGGGAGCCTCTCTGGAGAGAATACTCCACAAGCAGGGTACCACCTCTGAAAAGGCCTTCTCTCATAGCCACACACCCTTTTTCATATGGCTGGAGCCACAGGCAATGATCTTAATGTCTAGGGAGGCATATAAGGCAGGCAAAATGCCTTCAGTGTAATAGTCTCAATCCTTAAAGGGCTTTAAAGGTCAAAGGGGCACTTTGAACTGGTCCATGAAATGTACTGGCAGTCAATGCAGATGCAGAAGTACTGATAAAAAGCAACAGTAAAAAGCAAAGTACATCATGGCAAATAGTTAGCAGTACTGATTCCAATTTACCTGTTCACAGTAAAAGGTTGTCGAGAGGGTTGTTGCTTTGGCATACAGATTATGCTGGGTGAGCTTCGGTTAGGGCTGCCTAATCCTGAACTGCTCATGCTGTTTGTCCTGCTGGGAATTCCAATGCCCTGACCGACCTGGGAGTGGTTCATCATATTCCTAGGATTCATAGGCAAAATACCCCTGAAAAAAGATAATCCAAAAAATAATGTTCAGCATATTATCATCTACAATCTGTCAAAGCCTAATCTTAGAAGCAGTTCAGATACACAGCAGAGTTTTCATAATTGCTCCAAAAGAAATTGGCTGCGTTATACTGCCTTGTATATACAGTAAGCCCTTATTTATAGATAAGTTCATCTACCTTAACATGCAACAACTCCTTAAGTTTATTTCAGATACAGGTCTTTTACAGTTCTGTCAAGCCCAGTTCTTAAAAATGAAATTAGCAGCAGTCATGACTGCTTTCCATAAAGGGCACATGCTGATGTCAAAAAACAAGATGATTTGTCAGACCAAATTAAGAAATTTGTTCTAATTATATTTAAATTTGGAAATAAGCACTTTACAGTTAAACCGCAACATCTGTACTACCGGTAACAGCGCTCCTACCATATCTCCTTGAACAGCTGTGTACCTTACAGTATTTTAAGATGAGTATTATTTTCTGTAGGTAAGAATCAATATTATATCAGAAACTGCCCCCCAAGCTCCCTTAGGTACAACTAGTGATGATGAAAGTTAACGTGTTTTCTTTTTAGGGTACCAGGAATGCAAATCAATGTAAAGTTCAAAACAATGCAACATACCTGGAAAAGTCTTACTGTCAATACATACCTGCTTGGAGATGGAGGCGTGTGAAGTGACATTGTTGGTACCCCTGTTGTTGGCGTTACGTGGCTTGGTAACTGAGTGCCTTGTGATAAGCTGCGATTTAACTGAGGGGTGTTGTTGCTCATTCCCCTCATTGGAAGGCCTAGTGCACCTGTTGAAAAAAACAATCAGAAGAGTGAGAGTGTACAGAACAAGCATATTTTGTGAGGGTAGGAATTCACTCTGATCTGATATCCAAAATGTATTTAAGAAATATATAGGAGCATTTAGGATGATGTTCTTCAGCAACAAAAATGAACAGGTCATCTTAGATCTGATTTCATAAAAAATTAACTTGCTCATTTTTTTCAGGCTAAAATTTTATCAACATTTCAAGAAAAGAGGGCTTTTATAAGAGTTCTATATATTAAATATATAATATCATTTGTCTCACTTTGATTTATTTAAGAAACTTAGCAATTTAAAAATGACATCTCCAAGAAGAATTCAGACCAAAACCAATGCAAAAGATACATTATAAGTCAATTTGAACAGAATTTGCTTATTAAAAAAGGTGGTATTTTGAAAGGCACAGCACAAATCTTCATTTTCAGTGGGCAAGTCCACAAACGTGAGGAAGAAAAATAAGATACCGTAGTGTTTTATCTTGTCCTGCACATTCTGGTTCCATGCTTCCAAATTACCATAATTACAATCACAATGCACAGTATGTCGTATCATTCAAAATCAGCACTAGCAAAGGAGCAAGGTCACTTTACAAACCAGCCTACAAATCCAGAACAAACCACAGGTTCCAGAAAGGTTTCTGAACCCTCCTTCTCTCACTAGCTTCAGATAACATGACAAACCATGTCTGACAATGGTAATTATGGTAATACACTCACATCTACAGGACAGAAAAATAAGCTACAGTGAATTGTTTTCTTTCCCCAATCGTGCAAATCCAGACTTATCACCAATACTGTTGCTTCCATAACTACCTAGGTCTAAAGTTAAGTACTTAAGCTATTAAGTACTGGTATATACTGACAGTAGCGGCTGTAGTCAATTGTCACTCTTCACTAGCAAAATAAACACCATGTCTGGAATGAATTCCCCCTTCTTGTTATAGCCCCATAAATCAGCTCTGATGGGTTGCAGATTCTTCAGAGTAGATTAGGGGAAGTGAGATACAAGGAAGGAGGAGTGGATTCATCCATTATGTAAGCAGAACTCCATTTGTACATCGCTGGATACAGCACCACTGAACTACCTAAATTGGACTTCAGAGTAAAACATATAGGATCAGGCTACACATAACTAAATGTGCTTTAGCTAGAAGCACATGCACATCTATTTAATGAAATCCACACCCACATCAAAAGCAAACTTTTCAAAAGTCAAATGAATGTATGTGTTTAAGAAAATGTGGGATTTACCAGTTTTTTATTCTTCATATAGCTTAGATTTAAGAAGAATAAAAAAGAAGTCAAGACCTTGTGCATCTGTTCATGCAACTTTGTTACAATTATCAACTTGGAAATTCTGCAACATGTATGTTAGCATTGAAAGTACTGATTACCTGGAATAATAAAGTCAATTAAAACTCACTACATATATGCCTTTCTGTTTTGCAACAGTGAACTCTTGAAAGATTGGTAAAGATCTTTAAAAGGCATACCAGTATCCATCTCCCTGAACAAGTAGGGAACTTGGGCAATAATATTGCCTACAGGGACCAATTTATCCATGTACTTCTGGACTTCAGCCTCCCCAACAGCTCCCCATGTAGCTGCTAGGGCTCTGATTATCCATTGCTGTAGGAAGCTCTGGAAGCTCATGTGCCAAAACCATCATTTCCACCTGAATGGGCTGGCTAAACTTCCTACTGCTCGCCTATCCTACTAACTTTTCACAGCCCTGGGAAGAAGAAAGGTAGCTGTTTCTGCTACAAATGCAAATATGTTCTCCTGCCCATGAACACAGGAAAAAGATCCTGGTTGGTTGTGCTTAGTGTTGCTAACATTATGAAGATTAGTGTTGCTAATATTAGCATAATTAGGGTTTGGGAGAACCCTATGATGCCTTAGTTTTAAGGACTGAGAGAATGAAACCAATAATATTGAAAGCAATTTTGATTACATTATTTCGGCACTGTTCTATAAGGAAGAGAAGTATTAGCCACGCTATTTCATGTTTGAGAGTGTTTGTTGTAGGCAGTGAGAAACTTGCTGATGTTCACCTGCTGAAGTTGATAGGAACTCCTTCAGGGTCAAAGAAGTCATGTTTGCCTAGCTTCACTTGTCTTTCCTGCTGATAGTTTAAGTTTGGCCTAGATCTGTCAATAATCCTGACCAATCATATCTGGACAAAAATAGTATGATAAACACATCCTAAGGGACATTATCCTCCCTAAAAACCCACATTTTCTGAACACTCTAGTGATGGCTATTAATTTTACTGGAAAAGGAAAATTAAAAGGAAAAAATCTACTACATATGATGTCCATAGCCCATTGCAAAAGATTACACTCTTGTATTCTCTGAAAATCTTAGTATTAGATAGTAAGTAGAAGGGGTGGCCACCAAAATAATTCCCCCTTCCCCCCACTTTTTGCAGCTTTAAAAAATCTAATATATTCATTCTGGTGCTGTAATAGCAAAACATTTTTTGTCAAATGTCACATCTGCTCCTTGGGCAGCACAATCCATTGTGGCTGCTTGTGACCTTCCAAACTCAAAAGGATTATGAGTGTCCTAGTCACCTTGGCGCTTCTTTTGGCAAAACACTTGGATAGCTGATTTTGGCCATCTAAGTATTTTGACTCAGCGTGTGAGGAGACATGGGTGAAACACTGTCAGTATACTATTCTGGCAGAGCCTTTCTCCTTCCTCCCCACACCTCAGACTACCCCCAAAATGCCATCTTTGAACATGCTCTTTCATTCCAACCTTGGAGAGACTTCCTGAGACCAAAGCTGGGATTCTGAATTCTTCTATGGCTGCCAAGACAATATGAAGTGGTATGTTAAACTAAAAATATTGTGGCTCATCCATAGTACAAGGAGCAGCAACCTAATGTTAAGTATCTGGTGCTATGCTAGTACAATTTGCAAAAAAAACTTCATTTCCTAAAAAGTAACATTTAAACCTATACCCTTTCGTTATGTTCCAGAAAACAAAAGTTATACCTTAAGACAAAGAGAATAAAGATATGCTGAAATCATACTGATAAAAAAGAGAAAGCTACACCTAACCACAACAGTTTTGAAATAACTTTCAAGTGCACACACTCACCACCACTATTGAATGGGCCTATTATAATAAATAGAATTCTTACTTTGTTGCCCGTATAAACTTGCCCCAAACTGAGACAGCTGACCTGATGTTGATGGTGATGCCAGCATCTATAAATTTTGAAATGGACAGTCAGTAAAGTGTAGGATAATAAAATCTTTCTACAATATTAACCTATAAAAATCCAGCTATAAATTCCATTGCATTCTTCCGTTGGAATAAAGCTGAAAATAATGTTTATCAATACAGTATTATAAGCATTCTTATGACAGGAACAGGAAATTGAAGAGCCCTTCTGTTTATGGGTATATACATAGGTTCCCAATTCTGGCAATAGCTAGGTGAACACTAGCATCAAAAGGAAAAATCATTTAACAAATTCTTTAGGACAGTCTTCCTAATCTGGTGTTACCCAGCTGTATTGGCTTGCAGATGCAAACTACCCAGAGAGCTTTGGCAATTGAACAGAATAGAAATGTAATTAAAAAAATTCATTCCCATCATTCCCAGCCAGGATGAGAGTTTCCACACCCAATTTCTAGAGGGCACCATGTTGGAGAAAGCCGACTCAGACCAAGAAGCTTTGAACAAGGCAACCTGACTTTAAAATATCAAGGGCAATAACTCCTCAATATGACATTCACAGTGCAAATGATACACAATTTATCAGTAATCAAGTTTTCCTAATATCCAAGCCATCATCTAGTCAATCATAGGTCTCTTCTATTCTTATGTTAACCTCATATTAGCAATTGCAAAACATTGTTTTAAGAGGCTGGATAGGTAAATCCATTTATTGCTGATGAAACATTAACAAGAACAAATTAAATTATTTCCTAATATCCAAGATGGTCAACCCACAAAACAAATTATTAGACCATTGCATGTTTATTATTACACATCTGCACTATTATGCAAACATATTGTATGCACACATTATAATTTGTTTTCATTAACTGTACCAATAATGAACCAAAATACACACAGAGACCTGTGTGTATACCATGTTAATTCCTTGGTTGTATAACACTGGAATTGTCAGAGCCAAGTGGTAGAAAGTTAGCATGGTGCTTCCTGCATGTTCATTCTTATCACTTTCAATCAACAAACTAGGCTGTTATTTTGATATCTGAATCCAGAATTCTGGTTGTTTCGGAGTTCAATTATCAACAATTATCTCAACAACAAGCCATGGACAATTCTGGGTTCTTTCACCTGTATACAACCCAGAATCCTAGGTTTCAACATGAGAATAACAACCCAGGGCTGTTGACTGAAAGTGAATTGATGAGCGCACATTGCTGTTGCTCAGCCCTGAGAATTCCAGTGGTAAGCAACACAGGAATTGTGCTGAGAAAATGAGATTACTGGGAAATTATCAAATTCACCAAGTTTCATTAGCCAAGTTCCAAGCTGTATGAGCTATTCTGTTTTGGACTGCAGGTTAAAGCTGATCTGAACAAAGCTCCTCAATATATAAAAGTTCCCTGTATATAGGAAACTAGATGTTTTAGCTTAGTGTATGCACAGATAGATAGGGATATAGATTCAATTACAGAAATCCTGTGCTTGTATAGCTGATATGGTAACAACCTAAGAACAGGTTTACCATCTCACTGAAAACTAGATCATTGTCTGCAAATCTGGTCTCTTGCAAGTACCTAATATGAGAAGCCTTTACAAAATGAGAAAGACACTCATTTTATTTTCTTTCAAGTCACAGGTATCCAAATAAGTAAGTATGTATGGTAGTGAACCTGAATTATGTGCAATGCTAATCAACTACCTAGCAGCTTGTGAGCAAAAAACTTCCAAGACATAAATAGTAGTTTTGTCTACCAGATTGTCTGAATACTGTAACATCTGGGATTATTCCTAGTTTACAAGTTAGTGCAACACATCAATCAATAGCCTGGTTTGCATGTCATGACAAGCAATCATTGCTTTCCCCCAATGTGGGCTTATGTTGTTCAAACCCAGACATGTATATCAGCACAGCTTGCTATCTGTCAGATGTCTGGATTCAGGCAACCATTTGTGGTGAAAAAACACCACAGAGTTCCATGGAAAGAGCAGCAACAGAAGGGGCTGCTACAGCTATTCTGTTTCTGCAACCCACAACTTCCTAGCAACACACACATATCATTACTTAGTTTGTTGCTACTGGCTGAGCACTGTTCCCATCACCTATTTACTTTCTGAAATGGAGAAAGTGGGTAAATGTACAGAGGGGGGAAGCAGGGAAGCACAGTGTAAGTGTGCATTTTAATTTTTTAAAAATCCAGCTTGCTGGATTGGCTAGGAAGTATTAAAAAGATGAAGGTACTATCAGGCTGAGGAAACAGGATAATCAACTTCAGAACCTCAATGAAGAGGATTTGCTTGTGGTGGCTGCAACAATACATGACAAGAGCCAGTAGACAGAGGGAGCAGGCTAAAAATTACAAAACTAGTCAAGGTTTGTGATCATCTATTGGACAAAATATGGTAACTTACTAACAATGATGGCACCATCTACACTGCTTATCATGACATGCAAACTAATCCATTGTGAAGATGCAGAAATTACTGGACCAACCAAAGCAAATGCTCTATTATGATTCTAAATAGGTCCATCTAATGTTTTTGATGAATCCATAGAGAACTGATCTAGCAATGGTAATTGGTCAGTGACTGTCAGCAATGTGGGGGCCCTATATTTAGATGGAACACATCTCTATCCTTGATATGCTGGAAACATGGAGGCGGGTGTCACCTTCATGTTTTGTGTTAGCTTGAGGAGGTACACAGGTGTGGTACAAGAAATGCCTGCCAGTTTTTAGCCCCTAGTTGAAAGATACATACTGGCTTGTGTCCTTATGACACAAATGTAGAGCTGAAAACTCCTCAAGCACTTAACTACTTTTGCAATTAAACATGTGGTATTGGCTCCTGGGAAAGTATTCTCCTATCCTGCACAAGATAATGCCTAAACTTTGACACGGAATATTAAACATGTTAATGCTAGCTCCTGTGAATTTCAACTATTTCTAGCTAATGTTTAAATTTCATAAGACCTCGAGCTTTCCAATCAGCCTATCCTATCTGTATTTGTGTGTATATGCATGTGTGCACGCATGCAAGTTCTTCAGTCTTGCTTCCAAAATCAGGTTTTTCGGTAGGTTAAACAACAAAAGGTAAAAAAAAAGTATTCACAAAAGCTTACATCTTTTTCTGATCGATGTGGGAACATCGAAGACTGGCTGTAGTACATGTTTTCATCATGGTAGTCACTGTCGACCCCCTCTACAAACTTCTTTCTTGAAGCACCAAACATGCTGTTTGTCACCTAGATCATAAGAATATGGGATTATTCTCTATACACAGTTAATTGTAAGGCAATAAAAGCAAAGCATTTCCTTAGCTTACAGATGTGCTTAAAAGACACACAGGCATTTTTCTGACATAACAGTAGTTTATGGGGCTTTTCTTTCATAATTTATTATGGAAATGTGATTTGCCTCCCCTCTGCCCCAGTATGGCCATGAGAAACTGAGATGCTTTCCTTTCCACTTTCAGTAATCCACAGCTACTCTCATTCTGGTTTCCTGTGAATAAGCAAGCTTGGGGTTTATGCTGTGTGATCATTTATTCTTAGCTTTTCCTCCCAGGAGCTGATTAAACAAGAGATGAACAAGCTAGAGTTACTAATTCTAGCCAAAAGAACCAACAGGAAGCAACACAATATTTGTTTATTTTATTAGATCTATATTCTGCCTTTTTCTTTTTAAGAACTCAAGGCAGCTTACATCATTCTCCTGCTGCTCTCAATCTTATCCCCCCAAAACAACCCTGTGAGGTAGGCTGAGCAGGAAGTCTGTGACTGGCCCAAAGTCACCCAGATGGCCTACGTCCTACTTCCCTGCCCTTAACCATTAAAAGTCACTGGTTCCCTAACATGAATTGGTATACTTGCTCATTCACAGAGAGCCAGCATTTTAAAAGTTTCTAATTGTGATGTCAAACTGGACCTTAATGTCCAAACCCAAACAAGCTGATGTTACTTTTAATTCTGGTTTAGGAAAACTGGCCAATTTCAGACTATGGCTTATGACTGTAGTTTCTTTCTCCAAGCTACAATTAAGACTAATTACAGTTCCAGTTTCAAACATAAACAATAGAACACAGTTACACTGAAAACTAAAATAATAGCTTCAAATCTCTTCAGGGTTGCACCAGAGTAAAGGGGTGGGGAAATACACAAGTCCAGGCTCATGAATGTAATGTCATTAAAGTTATATTTAAACCATTTCTACATGCATATCAAAAATGGAGAAATGGCTGAGTCTAGTATTATGCACAGCTTCTCACAAAACAACACTCTATGTTTACCACATAACCCAATTCTCTGGCTATGCTTTTCTAATACTTTTAAAAATATATAATACATTTATGAGTATCTATTAAACATTTAGATAGCCTTGCTAAAAGTGCTATTGTATGGATTTTATGTTTTACATATTTTAAACTGCTGAAATGTACATTGTTCAGAGAACTTAAATTACTGAGTGATCTATAAAGAACATGTATAAAGAACTCAGTTACCTGCAGGCTATCATAACAACCCTATGAGGTAGGTGATCATTATAACTACTTTTTTGATGGCAAATAAAATAAATAAATTCAAAGCCTTACTTAGTTATGGCATTCTTAACACTTTACCAAAAGATGATTTGCTTTATTTATTTCATTTTGATGTTGCCCAATGACTGAGGCTCTCTGCAACCGAGCAGAGTCAAGACAATGTGAGAAACCAGGTCAGATGAGTGATGACCACATTAGGGCAGCTTCTTTTGTACTCATTCACTAATGACATTTAGTTCAGTAAAAGTTGCTGCTTATTAACAGCTTGTTTTATACAAAATCATATCCCAGCTTCTCCCAAGTAGCTCCCAGTTAGCTACTGTTCCCACTTCAGCAGCGGGATATACCACTGAACAAATCTCTTAAGAATGCAATTATCACCTATGAAATGGAAAGCCCTATCTAACAGGGTAAAGTGATGATGAACAGAGAAATCCTTTATGGCTGCTGCTTCTAACAAGGATGAAGAACAGGGACAACCAAACTAACTGTCTTTCAATGTTATATAGATTTTGTAGTTAACCATTAGCTCTTTTCAGATATTAAGGATGCAAGCTGGTGAATGTTAAGGCAGAAAAAGAAAAAAAATCTGTCTAAACATGCATAGGATTGTACCCTAAGATGGAAAGAGGTGGGATGGAGAACCATGTGTACCCACGAACTATGTGATCATCAGGAGGTCTAGAATTCTATTAAATGGCAATCTCATAAATTAGCCCTGGTCTAGTACTGCTTATGGGTTCGGGTTCACATAGATGACTCAACTAAAGGCTCACATTTGTGTGACTTCTGGTGCATTCATTACTTTCTGGCCTCCTGGTTAACAAGGCCAAATAACTCCTATGCAAACATATGCTGAAAGGCATGTATGCCTATAAACTTTTCCAAAAAAAAAAAAAAAAGAACTGTAGAGTCTCAAGAAAATTGTGTGCCTTTTTAGACAGCTTAACAACCTTATATGCCAGGAGAAATTTTCCATTAGTTGCATAATGAAACTAGTTATAAATTAAGAGATACCTCTGTAAGAATGTGACCAGAGTTACAACTGCCAAAGGAAACAAGATTCAGTAACTATAACAAATTTGCACTGAATAATGTTCCTAAAATAATTTGTATGGTACCTTTGTGGATTACAAAAATTAATATAGAATAATACATGATCAGGAACCTTTATTTATTTATTTATTTATTTATTATTTATTTATTTATTTATTTATTTATTTATTTATTTAGAAAATTTCTATGCCGCCCCAGTCACCGAAGCCTCAGGGCGGCTCACAAAACATCAATTAAAATATAATACATTAAAAATATAAAACAAATTAGCAATATAAAATAAGTCACCCTGCCAAAGAATAAAATAAGCAAATAATATTAGCAATTAAAATGACGTTTGAACAAAAAGGTCTTCGCCTGGCGCTGAAAAAAAAATAACGACGGCGCCACGCAGACCTCTCTGGGGAGCGCATTCCATAGACTGGGTGCCACTGCAGAGAAGGCCCTCCTCCGAGTACCTACCCTCCTAATTTCCTTCATGGAGGGTTCCCGGAGAAGGGCCTCTCCCGCAGATCTCAGGGGGTGGGCGGGCATATAGGGACGTAAGCGCTCCTTCAGGTAGCCAGGACCCATATTTTGCCATCCTTTGAATATTTACTCAAAAGTAAACATCAATGGGACTTATTCCCAGATAAGTATGCAAAGGATTTTGCCATTAGAAATCTAAGAAATCTGTTACAAAACTTTAATTTGTTCTCCCTGAAAAACAGTGTGAACGTCTATATTTTAAGCTCAGGTATCCTCTGAGATTCCCCAGAAGGCCATGCCCTTTTCTTGGCTCCAATGAGTTTTTCCATACCATCTGGAGGTTTTTTGACATTTACATGGTTCTTCCTACTTCCCCCCACTTCCTTCCTAGAGGGTTAAAATACCTGTCCTAAGGCTTAGTGACTAGTTGGAATAATATCCAGGTATATTGTCCCCACTCCTCCTGCCTTTGGCCCCAACCCCTTTGCGTTCATCTCTCATCCATCACTTGAATACAACTCCAGAGGGTTTGTCCAAAATTGAATTTCGCTCTCAGGCTGAAAGAAGTTTAATAATCTTGTAAAACTTGGGCCAATTTTATGTAAAGAGCACCTTGATAAATGTTGTTAATCAAGACAGACACTTTGGTTATCACTTAAGAAAAACTGCATAAAGATTTATTATCACTTTATTGAACTTTTCCTGTTAAAGAGCATCTATTTATATATTTCTTCTAAAACGGGTTCTAAATACAAGGCATTTTTGTCTACTTCTAGCTTCTTTAAATCAATCACATGAAGTGATTCCACATCTGCATTAACCAAGGAACCAATGAAAGTCCACTATTTCTTCTGAGTAGAGGTGCCCTACTCTGTCCAAAAGAGATGCATAATTCTGGACCACTTTATCATTTCATGCATTTTGCATGAGAGCTCTATGAAACATTTTTGTTAAGCTAAATTGTCTTTACCTTCCTAACCTCAGTCTCAAAGATCCAAGAGTGTTTTTCTTTCAGGAAAAATTAGTTCTAGACTCCTGAAATGTTCTGTACTCTTTTGGGACTGCTTTGGGGTTTTTATAACCCCCCCTCAAAAACCCTATACATCTAAGATCATTTTCTATTCACAAAACTATATCTTCCTTTATAGCAAAGACAAAATATCAGATGGTTCTTTCACCATATGAAACAACTGTACAATAATAAGTATTCCAGCCAATGGCAGCTACTGCCAACAAGTGCACGTTTTGAAATAACGAATGATTTAAAGACATGTAACAGAAGCTTCTCAAAAGTAAAAAGAGGTACAGGAAAACATAACTGCTGTTCTTGGGAAATCTATTTCTGACTCTCAACCACTTGTTTAAGCACTTTTGTTATCTTATTTTTCATCACAATTATTACTTTCATGTGCCCTCCCACAAAGAAAACAATAATGGAATCATAAGTTTCTCTTAGTAGCAATGGAAAATTCTAACATAAGTAACCTTCCCCCATGACTCAAGAGAATGGGTTTATGTTACCAAGTATAGGTGTATATATATAGCCATGGGGATGTGGTAACAGAAGTTAAGTTACAATTGGAATTTTTGTAACATAATAGGATTAGACATGCTCAATTCACCCATATATTTTTTGGCAAATCTGGGAACACTAGGAGAAAGTTGTCATAAGAAGCAGTAGTTTATCAGACCAGGCAAAACCATAGCTTCAGATAAGTGTAAACCTATAGCTACACATCCATACAATTTAAGTTTCTCATTGCTTAAGCTTTGCAGCAAAGCAAGGGTGTTGAACCTCTTTCAGTCAAAAGTTAAAGAATTTCTTTGGGGCTGTATTACAGTGATAAGTGAGACCAATGACAACACAGACAAGACCCAAAACAAAAGCGTATTTTACTTCAGAGATGCACAGATTGCATTTCACAAGACTACCTAATCCAGCTAGTGGAGCCTCTCATGATTCCTCCAGTGGGTGGGACTTAGGCTCTAAGCCTTAACACCTGGAGGAACCTGAGATAAGAAATGATAACAGGACTGTGGGCTGTGCACCTCACTTGGTCTGTGCCAGGAAGAACGGTTCCTTTCCTTGGCATAGCCCAAGTAACTTCACCTGGCATCCAGAAAAGGGCCAAGAGCCATATGAAGCCAGAGGCCCAACTGGTAACTACTCCTTCCAGCAGT